CACAATAATGCTTGACAAAGAAACTTGAAGAGAAGACTATTGATTCCCATTCTTCACATGTTCGCTTGTTTGGCTTCTATGCACAGCAAAATATTAATTCAGCAGCAAACATCGTGTTTACATCAAAGACTGGTCTTTCTCCTGTGGTTCTGGTGTTACGGTGGGTCTTATTTGTTCCAGAAATATTCGTCTCTCCACCCTCGGAGTTTGAACAACATATTTACGGTAGCGATCCCAGGCCAGATACTGGCTCGTTAATGCAGTAGGAGAGCCGTAGAGCTGTTCGACAGGCTTCACAGCCCCCATAATCCAAAGCCTCAGCCAGGACATATTGATAATTCCACAACTCGACGGCCACGAAGTGAAAAGCCACTGCAGACTTCGGGATCACGCACATTTCTTTCATTTTCTTGTTTTTCGACAGCAAACCCGGAAGCTGTCCGCCGAACTGCGGCATTATTATTGCGAATAAAAGCTTTAGCTCTGCAAAAGCGGCCCTTGTTTGATCTTTTCGCGCTAGTGGGAAGAACCGCCGCCATCTTGGATGTCGCAATGTTATGCGCAGTAGAGGGTGCGGAGGGCAAAACAAGGGAATTACCTTAAAAGCAAACAGCATTACTTCTGTAGTTCTGTAGAAACCACGCAGATTATAACTGAAACAATAACCAACTAAGGAAGGACAACTTCTCTAACAACATTTCTTTACTAGCCAAGATTTTTATACTAATACGCTACATTTATTGACAAGATCAATATTTAACACTAACAAAATTTGAGAAACGCTCAGTCCTTGCGGCCATGGGCCTGCTAGAACTCCCTGATTTTAAACACACACTGGTAGATATAGGTGCCACTCTGTTGTGTATTAGTAATGGTAACAGGACTGAGTGGAGTCCAATTCGGTCTGTAATCATACGAGTGATTAACAAAATCGGACGACCGCGTAGCGGGAGTCCGATTTGTTTAATCACGAGTATGATTACAGACCGAATTGGACTCCACTCAGTCCTGTTACCAATTAATCGTAACTTTCAAAACATTTGTGATATAATAGGCTATTTTTTAAATCAAAACACAAGAAATTCGAAATTTTGTTTTGCTAGCAGTAAAAAAAAAAGCCATTTAAGCGCACGCGTGATGGCGCGTACTGTCCAATTACTTAGGCATGACGCGTACTGTCCTATTAACTGTCCAATTAAGGCTGAAATCAGGGCAGTTGATAACCAAGCGGATTTGACAATTTTGTTATAGTTATGATTAGTGGGTATAACGGGTTACTTGGCCGAACCTTACATATATAAATAAATTTAATACACGAGACTGCCCGACTNCTGTAGTTCTGTAGAAACCACGCAGATTATAACTGAAACAATAACCAACTAAGGAAGGACAACTTCTCTAACAACATTTCTTTACTAGCCAAGATTTTTATACTAATACGCTACATTTATTGACAAGATCAATATTTAACACTAACAAAATTTGAGAAACGCTCAGTCCTTGCGGCCATGGGCCTGCTAGAACTCCCTGATTTTAAACACACACTGGTAGATATAGGTGCCACTCTGTTGTGTATTAGTAATGGTAACAGGACTGAGTGGAGTCCAATTCGGTCTGTAATCATACGAGTGATTAACAAAATCGGACGACCGCGTAGCGGGAGTCCGATTTGTTTAATCACGAGTATGATTACAGACCGAATTGGACTCCACTCAGTCCTGTTACCAATTAATCGTAACTTTCAAAACATTTGTGATATAATAGGCTATTTTTTAAATCAAAACACAAGAAATTCGAAATTTTGTTTTGCTAGCAGTAAAAAAAAAAGCCATTTAAGCGCACGCGTGATGGCGCGTACTGTCCAATTACTTAGGCATGACGCGTACTGTCCTATTAACTGTCCAATTAAGGCTGAAATCAGGGCAGTTGATAACCAAGCGGATTTGACAATTTTGTTATAGTTATGATTAGTGGGTATAACGGGTTACTTGGCCGAACCTTACATATATAAATAAATTTAATACACGAGACTGCCCGACTGTCGGAAAGAGTGGATAATGCAGCTTTGTCAAGTGCTGCTTCATGCGAAATACCAGGCCAAATGATGCAAAGGGCCCTTTTTTGCACGTTCTCAAGATAGCAAGCAAGACACTTAGGAAAGCCAGTAAAGACAGGGGAGACTTACTCTAGTACAGAGCGAATCAGCGCGCAGTAGATATGAACAATATCAGCCGACGGAACTTTGCAGTTCTTGAGTTGTCTCAGTGCATAAAGCCGACTGTTGGCCTTCTTCACTATGTAGTCGCAGTGCACTGCCCAAGTGAGGTCCTCAGAAAGATGGACACCGAGGAGCTTAAATGTAGAGACCTGTTCAATATCGGACCCACCAACCGCGATTAAATTGGGCGCGGAACGCAACTATTGTAGTGAAGAAAGTCAACAGTCACGGTCTTGCATTTACGAGGATTTAAGCGCATGTTGTTGTTAACAGCAAAAGCGTGGATATAATCAACTACCACATTCAATAAGGATGGAGAATTTCGAGGTACAACCGTCAGATCATCCACGAATTTAATGCGAGCACCCCAACTTTGAACAAGGTCATTGACCATAACAGCAAACAACACAGGACCCAATTTTGTGCCCTGAGGAATGCCTCCATCTTGATATAAAGGAGCAGGAACCGAAGCGCCGGCGCGCGTGACCTGAGCTCTCCCTTGCAAAAAGGATGCGACCCACCTAAGCAAGGTCCAGTGGAGATTGTACTGTGAAGAAAGCTTCTCCATTAATATAAGGTGACAATAAGGTCAAAACCTTTTTTAAAATCAGCAAAAAAATGACCTTAGATAGCTACCGCCCCTATCCAGGGCTTCTTAAGCCAGGTGTAAAAGATAGCCTACTCGGTCGATTTACCAGCTACTGCGAACTGGTTTCTATCGAGGTTGCCTGCGATAGATGGATATACTCTAGCTAATGTGAAGCCCTCCAGCACTTTAGAGAGCTGGCATGCGAGAGATTGGCCTCACATCGTCCTCGATGCACTTGAGAGGGGTCACCTTAGGGAGGGTGTGGACTATCGTGCTCTTGAGGAGAGGGGGAGTGAAGCCCTCACGAAGCATTGAATTCTAAAGATCGGCAATAACTGGCCCAAGTTCAAACCAAAAAGGTTGAGGAAAACACTATGACTCCCGTCGGGTCCAGCCGCCCTCTTGGTATTGATGTCACGAAGAGCCTTATACGCCTCCCAGTTAGTGACGAATAACTCTTGATGGATACAAGCACCATGAAATCTCGTAATATCAAAGTCTACAGGCACTCACTCACTCACTCACTTGGTCACCCGAAGGCGGGCAACCACTAGATCTTTCCACAGCCTCTTATCAGCCATCAGTGCAGCAATCTCACTTGCTTCAAATGCACCAGTATCCCTCTTAAGAGTGTCAATATCGGTAGTATTCGGTCTTCCTCTCCCGCGATGGCCATGTGTGGGCTCCCATAGTACTAATTTCTGGGTACTTAGCTCTGGATGGCGATAACAGTGTCCCGCAAGTTGTAGCCTACGAGAGGCGATTTTGTTGCTGACTGCTGGTAGATCTCCGTACAGTTGTTGGTTTGGTATGTGGCTGCTCCANCCTTAGATAGCTACCGCCCCTATCCAGGGCTTCTTAAGCCAGGTGTAAAAGATAGCCTACTCGGTCGATTTACCAGCTACTGCGAACTGGTTTCTATCGAGGTTGCCTGCGATAGATGGATATACTCTAGCTAATGTGAAGCCCTCCAGCACTTTAGAGAGCTGGCATGCGAGAGATTGGCCTCACATCGTCCTCGATGCACTTGAGAGGGGTCACCTTAGGGAGGGTGTGGACTATCGTGCTCTTGAGGAGAGGGGGAGTGAAGCCCTCACGAAGCATTGAATTCTAAAGATCGGCAATAACTGGCCCAAGTTCAAACCAAAAAGGTTGAGGAAAACACTATGACTCCCGTCGGGTCCAGCCGCCCTCTTGGTATTGATGTCACGAAGAGCCTTATACGCCTCCCAGTTAGTGACGAATAACTCTTGATGGATACAAGCACCATGAAATCTCGTAATATCAAAGTCTACAGGCACTCACTCACTCACTCACTTGGTCACCCGAAGGCGGGCAACCACTAGATCTTTCCACAGCCTCTTATCAGCCATCAGTGCAGCAATCTCACTTGCTTCAAATGCACCAGTATCCCTCTTAAGAGTGTCAATATCGGTAGTATTCGGTCTTCCTCTCCCGCGATGGCCATGTGTGGGCTCCCATAGTACTAATTTCTGGGTACTTAGCTCTGGATGGCGATAACAGTGTCCCGCAAGTTGTAGCCTACGAGAGGCGATTTTGTTGCTGACTGCTGGTAGATCTCCGTACAGTTGTTGGTTTGGTATGTGGCTGCTCCAGTGGATGTTTAAAGCTTTTCGCAGCATCCTAGTGCATGTTCCATCCAACGACTTTTCTTGTGCTTTTGACAGAGCCCAGCTCTCGCACCCATAAAGTAAGATTGATTCTACAGGCATTTGAATGAAAAATAATGCAATTCTTTAATCATGTACGATAATGGTCTGCTTCTTTTCTACCTCCGTTTCAAAGGAAAACAAAAGAAAAACTGACCGATAACATGTACTTCAAAAGTTTGCCACCACGCAAAAATTCCGTTAACTAATGTGATAAAAACAATTGTTGCGGTTCTTAGCCTTAAAGAATACGAATGAGAAGTTTAAAAAAGAAAAAGCAGCAACAGCAACAACAACTACAACAAAAACAATCAGCAAGTTGTAGAAAGCAAACGTTGACAAATCAAGCCACAGAAGCATGTTGTCCTTGACTATGAAGTAGTACACCGTCGACAGAAAGGGGTAACGACTGCCCTCTATTGCCTTTATTTATTTTTACATCAGAAGCCGGCCTAGAAAAAGCGAACAACTGCTTTCGCAGCGATCATGTGATTACTTATACCAGATGTTACGCCCTTGAATATTATGTAGAAAGAGGGCAAAGCCAGTAGTTCATAAAACAAGTCACAGTCTGCGATCCAGCACCAAAATGTCCTGAACAGTCGCAGCGATAAAACCGTTGACCGTTGGATTGGTTGACTTCGCTTGAAAGAAGATACATCTGGGCTCGGTCCGTGGAGCATGACACACCAACTATTCGTTTGTCCTAAAAGAATAAAAATGAGAGATATACACTTCTCTGGAGGGAGGAATTGTTCCTGTTAACGGACATAGTCGCAACTTATATCTTGTTTGGCATAGAAATGACGTACGTAGTGATAGTCGTGGCATTAATGCTTCGTTTCTTTTCCGTTATTATATTACATTTTTTTTCTTTTTTTCTGTAATTTTTGTAAAAAATAAAAAATAAAAATAAAAATAATAATAATAATAATAACAACAAAAACAACCTGGCAACAGGTTAAAAACAAAACAAAAAACAAAACAAAACATGATAATAATCGCAACTTATTTTGAACGTTCGAACCGAATAGACTGATCGGCCTAAAGAGCGTCAGACGGAATTATATGATTTTGTAGTTATTTCGTTAGCTTAGTTTTAACCAAGGAGCATTCTATATTATTACAATCAATCAAGGATTAGACAATTTTTAAGTGGTTTTTCATCCGCGAGTTCATTTGAACTTGATAAACAAACCAATGACACTCGCTGAATGAGCGCAAACATTAAGAGTGATTTTATTTGAACCGTGAAAGAGATAATAACAACTAGAGCAAAATAGCTGCAAATAAACAAAAGAAGACAGTAGAATTAGTGTATAATAGTGTGTACTATTCTACTGCCTATTTCACGGGTTAAGTAAAATCACTCTAAAGAACTCACAAAAGTGTAATAATAATAATAATAATAATAATAATAATAATAATAATAATAATAATAATAAGTTCATCTTCGATAGTGCACGGTAAGGTTTGTCCAGCTCCGCAAATATTCTCCAAATAGTAGATGCCCTTCGAGTTGCCTTGTTGCTGTTCTTGCCGTGTTTTTAGCTATTTTTTCGCCTAGTTCTTAGTCTTGAAACGAGTGAAATGTCCGCCATTTTTCAAGTTCACAATCAAAAAAACTCAACCTCGTCCCCAGGTCTTCTCGGTTATCGGTGCCTTAACCTGCGAAAACGCTGCATTTTTGACGTTATTTCCTCGTTAAACACAAAATTCTTCCAAATTTGGTCATCAGAAACTGTTTATGGTGAATTAAGCGAGTGCTTTTAGCCAATCAGAATCGGGAAAATATTTTGAATGAATAATAACAGGAGTTAACGATAAGCTGACCAGAAAAAAATATAACAATAAAATTAAGATAAATAAGAAACAGTTGTTTAGAGGAAATCCTTCCCGAGCCACTGCACATGTGTGTAAGAAGTTTATTAGGGAGCTTAAGCAACGACGACGGTGACGGCAACGAGAACGGCAAAAAATCAAGAGCTTAAATTGGAAAAGCAACAACTTTGCACGTGTTTGTTCATTTCATTAAAAATGTTAATTCTCGATTGATTACTAGGTAAAAACACATATCTAATGTTACAAAGTCGATAGAAGGAAGCTATATAAAATGGAGAAAACAATAGTAAATGATCTACAAAAGGAGTTGCATTTAAAAACTACTGAGCTTTTTTATACAAATGTATTCTTGAAAAGCTCTGAATGTTTCATGGACTTATTCTTAATTAACATAGAAGAAGGAAAAAAAACTAATTCTAAAAGTGATAAATATTATATCATAAAAATAACAATGATGATAATGATAATGATAATAATTAATAACAACAGCAAAAATAATAGACTTACATTTGGTTCCCCGAGAGATACTTGAATACTAGAAGCAGGGTTAATGCTTGTTACTGTATCCTGACTTCCCTTTGAAGAGGTGCTCATATATTCACACAAAGAGAAGTCCCCAGCACCCTGAGGACCCTGTGGTCCGATAGGTCCCTGGGAGCCATTGAATCCCTGGGGACCTATTGCACCCTGGGATCCGTTAAATCCTTGGGGTCCTGCTGGACCTATGGGGCCTTGGGAGCCGTTTACGCCAGGAGGACCGACTGGGCCTGGAAGTTTGCTGACATTCTCTACCTGGAAACAAAATAAATGCTCAGGGCCTGGTTCCTGAAAGGCTGATTAACGCTAATCCAGGATGAAAATTTTGTTGCACTTTTTATATTTACCTTTCTATACATTGCCTAGAGTAACATTCTGTGTTATCATTTCTTTTTCTTGAAGTAAAGGAACAACAGTATTTTGTAAGCTCGAGTTACAAGTAGAAAAGAAAATCTTGCTTAAAATTTTGCTTAATCCCGGGTTAACCCTCGGACGTACAGGGAGGGGGATAAAACATCAGCACCTGACGTTTTCAGTAGCTGTTCGTTCATCCCTCACGCAGATTTTGAGACGAGTTTAGTGATGGTTAGTTGCTATGGTTACGAGATATGACGTCATAAGCAGCAGGTGGTCAAGCCATTTTTGGGTGAAAATACATGTTTTTTTAACTTCTTTCAACAATAAAAGTAAATCGTGTGGCTAAAATCATGCAAAGTGTTTATTCATGTTTTTTTTTTTCATGTTAAGCACAAAAAATACCATTTCTCGCGGTTTTAACCTGATTTCCAATTCTTGGTAAAATCCAAGATTGCGGCCAAGATGGCGACCATTGTCGGTGACGTCATATGCCTTCAGCAGCGCCACCACTAAAGGTAAAATCATTTCAAAATACTGCAACATGTCAAAAACTCCGGGGAGGGGTTCCATCCACCCCCACCTTCCTCTTGTACCACGGCGGGGTTATGAATTTGCTTGTACGTCCCAGGGTTACTTAGCTATCCTTCGAGGAACCGTGAAAAAAAAAAAAAGTTTTTATCTGTTCTTTATGTTTGTCATCATTTCCGTAGTCATGGACAAAAGTCTTGGGAAAGTTGTACAGTTCGAACACTTTTTAACACACGCTAAATTCATATCCGTGAGCTACTAACACTGCACGTCCCCACCCCCTCCCCCCACCCCACGGACAGTTTTGAAGCCATCAAGGCACAATTTATTTGATTTTTCAACATTGTATTGGGAGGGGAAAAGGGAGGGGTTATATGGAGTTTGAAAATGAGAGCGTTATTTTTATAATATTGCTTGTGACACACATAGACTGACTGCTGTTATGCTTTTACTGTCTGTCTCAAGGACTTTTGTCCAGGATTGTACACTACAAACGTCGCTCTAGAGACGAGAACTATTAAAGAAAAAAAGCTTCATTTTTGCGTATTCTTCTCTAGTCAACTTGCACTAGGTCGTCAATTTAAAACCAAAGGACACGGTGATTATTATTTAAAAAGAAAAAAAAATGAGAAATAAGGATCGACTGAAGCCGAAATGAGTCACACAATTGTTTATGCAAGAGAGTTTTGTTTATGGGATCGTTACTGCGGACGTACCAATCAGCTATGGGAACATTATTTTTTTTTCTGCTAGTAGCAATCCTAGAAAGTATTTACAAATCTTTTTCGTTCCAGTTTCGTCCTTATTTCTAAGGTGGCGAATTCATTCTATCATTACTCGTTTTCTTTTTCGGTCCATGATATTAAGGAAAAAACAAAAGTGTTTCCTCATAATTTCCCGTCCTTCCCATGGGAAATACATATAGCTCTACAAATTGGTCTAAAAGATAGGAAACCTACAGGGGACACCTCATTTTCTTAAGGCGAAGAGAACGTTACCTTTAGGAGGAGGGTGCTGTTAATTTCCAACAAGAGTAACTTCAAGTTGACATCTTCTTGGTCAAGTCTATCTGTTGCTTTTTGTAGCTGATTGAAAACTCACTCTATTAATTTTTATCAATAGACAAAGTAATATCTATGGACTAAATGAAATTTCAAATTCGATTTTAGTCCTGTTTTGAGAGCAAAAGCAAACAAACAAACTATAATTTCTTCCGGTTATGACGGAGTCCTCATGCACTGGGAATTAATTTGTTAGAAATTGCGTTCAAGTATCTTCCGTTTATCTGAGTCAAACTGCATGCAAACAAACCCCAAAAGTCCGAAAATTTCATGCCCTTGTCTTTTCAGCAATTCAACCGGGTAACTGCTAGCTGAGAAATAAAAGGTTGCCTTTAAACTCAAACTGACTTCGTGTTAATCTGTTATTTGGGTTTTTGTTAACCTAAAAAAAGGGAAATGTCCTGTCATTCATTGAAGCAAATTTCCCTGTTGCATGGCTTGACCAATTAGAAGCGCTAACCAGATGTGGTTAGTTTTTTCGTCATCAGTATGGAATTTTTGCACTCGTTTCCCAGACGACGAATCATTTCGCGGTGAAACCAATGGTGGCATCGCGAAACGTCGACTGTTTTCCCAGGCTAAAAAAGGATACGCAGGATAATCTCACTATAAAGAAAAGAATAAATGATAAACCAATAAATTACCTGTGTTGTCGTTCTTGTCAAGGTTCGGTTTATTTGCTCGCTGTTTTTCTGAGTTTCTCCAAGTGCTGTTGATATCTGGCTCGTGGAAATCTCAAGACTTAAAATCTGGAATATAATGACACAGTTTTGTGACGTTTGACAGGTATTCCCCAAAGTTGCCGACATAATCTCCTCTACCAAAATACCGTATACTGTCGCTTATATATAAGCCCCCCCTCCCCCAGATATTTACAGGCCCATCTACCTGTAAGCATAAAATACATCCAGTTATACCCCCAAGATATAACCCCCCCCCCCCTTCAAATGTATTAGAATGAATTCTATCTATTAAAACGTTTCTAGGCTTAATTAATTTAAAACTAGTAAATGCATATCGAATCACTGCTACTGATACAGTGTACTAGTTTTTTGAAAGGGCTATTCCGGTTATAACCCGGCCCATCGGAAATATGTCCTTCCTTTTATATTGCCTTCTTAAAATCCCTTACTGAGATGAAAAAGCCCAGGGCTTACAAGCGGCACTTTACGAAAGCCATTTTTCTTTCAATCAGACTCAATAAAAGCGAAACTATTTAGTACCTAATTAACACTCACTACATTCCACATTGTAGTTTTTAATCACATGCAACGAGACTTCACACGCATTCTTAATATATAAAGAACTTTTAACAATCTATCTTTTTAGAATTTGAAAATGATGAGCGAGCCATCGAAACGTCATTCAAAATTTTTATCGTTGATTTTTATTCTTAAACCATTTTTCTTTGTAACAGATTTAAAAAAAAAAAAAAAAAA